TTTTAATTTGTCTGACAAAACCTGTATTAGCTTCAGTTTTAATCTTAGCTATTTTAATCTCTATTTTGTTTCTCAGCAACAACCCACAGGGGAACTCGAATTCTTGCTTCCTGGGCTCTGTGCTTCTCTTTCACTGCAGAACTGGTGAAAGAAATATTTTATGATAACGGTGAGACCAGGTGCTGAGAAAGGGCTTCAGAGAAAAATACTTACCCATTATATAGGGGAAAGAATCATCCTAGTGAAGTTTACAAAACAATTTGGGAAGAAGCAACAGAAACAGAGCAAAATTAAGTGCCCTCTCATTTGAGTTCTGATCATTAAGGCTAGAGCCTTGATTAGAAGCAGCAGCATTTCTGTGATGTAAGCTAAATGCTGAACTTTTTGTACTTAGCCTTTTTTTTTTTTTTAATGATTTGTTGACTTAAGACAGAAGCAGCTGAACCAAGTCTAGTACCTCTCTGAGGTCACAGCTTTAAGGAAGAGGGGTGGGGTTTGCTTTTGCTTTGCAAGAAAAAAAGTTTCACAGGTTGTAATAATTTCTCAAACAGTATAGACATTGGGGAAAGAATTGCCACCTTTGCAATCTGTGTGCCAGGAAGTGAAACAGGCTATGAACAGCTCATCTGGTAATACTGGACCAAGCGACTGAGAGGTTCTAGCTCAATCACCGGAGATCCTGGACATGTGTGAAATACAGAAATGGGACAAAAATGCTTCCCATTTCCACAAATTTTGTTTTTTCCTTTGACAGAAATTACATAGTGAACGTATAAATAAATATGAAGGTTAGTAAAAGCTTTTCCATTTCTCTGGTTTCAAAAAATAAAAACAGGGAAATTATAGGAGCACCAAACACCCACCACCATCTCAAGTTGTTTTATGTAGATGTAAGGTTTGTAGGTAAGATATCGAGACAAAAATCGAGACCAGATTAAAATTAAAAAAAAAAAAAAAAGTTTTTGAAACACTGACTCAAGCCTTCCAAAATGCTCCAAGAAGGGTTATCCAGCATCACAGTCTGTCCTGAAAACAGTTCAGCAGATCCACTAACATGCTGCTCTGGGTCTGTGAGTTAAATCCAGCAAATCTTAAGAGCAAATGAAAGCCACTGTTAGTGAGAAGAATCTCCTAGTTATTTAATTTTTTGTAGTTTAGACATGCTACATTTTCAGAATTTGAAGCAACTTGATAATTTCCATATGTATCAATCCAGAGAAGAGTGAACAGAGGAGCTGCTGCTTTCAAATGGAAGAAATCGAAGTTGCTGCAGTCTCACTCTGCTTTTCTGCTCCTCCCCTCCACTAACACTGAACCTGGTTAACCCAAT